CCAATAAGTCTAGCATAGGCACCTTTTTTATTCTCTTTAGATTTATTTTTTAGGATCATTATATATTTTCTTTTAATAAAAATGAGCATTTATTTCCTTACATATGATCATTTCATTATATTGCATTAAAAAAAAACAATGTCGAATTAAACACAAGGTATACCAATGATTTAAGGCAACCCTTGTGGCCACATCATATCTCCTTTCACCTTTAAAATATGCAATCCTTTTTTCATAAACCACTTTGAGCCTTGTCTAACGATAGACCTTTCTTTTTTCAACCTACATATATCTATCCTTGGGATGGGATGGTGTGCAACTTTTGCAATTCTAAAGAAAGCTTGAGCAAATTCAAAAGATTAAAATAGCAAAAAATAAATAAAAGTGTACAAAAGGGCAAGTGTTCCAATGTCTTTGATATGAAAATGTCTTCGATATGAACACGTCTCAGATTGCGTCTCTTATCGAGTGCTCGGTACCGTGCCTGAGAAACATGAATGCCGAGTGAGTGATAGACCACATGATCGAGATTGCTCACACTTATAAAAATGAAATAAATTCTAAAGCAAAAGAAAGAGCTAAAAAAAGAGTAGAAAACCTCAAGCATGAAAATACAAATATTCAAAAGCAAGGTTGCACACCTTGGGGGCTTATCTAGGGGCTTGAGCCTTTATCCCTTTTTTCTATAACCTTTAGCATAACCACGTTACAACCCTTAAAAGAAATTTTTGAGGTATACACACACTTGTGCGAGGTTTGGCTAGAGCTACGTTCGGCCTGATTCCTAACAGATATGTAGGCAACCTCACATCGAGGTGCGACCGTAATAAACATGCATCATATTCACATTCACACACTTTCACCATGATCAGATCAAGGGACCTCCTATGCTCATACCTATTCACTTAGAGCTAGACTTGGGGGCTTGATCCCTACATCATTAGCTTACCTAGCCTAAGACTCTCCACCATTTGACTCTTTTCAATAATATTTTCTCCACACACTTAGCCTTTGCGGCCTAGCTTTAGTGTCACTATCACACGCTGCACAGCTACATGACCAAATATACTTCCCTTAGGAACCCTTTGTCATGAAATCTTAACACAACATTGAAGCATGCCTTGTCATATCAACATCACTCATAATTGTCATTGCATCACAAAAAACGAATTGCTTAGCCTCCGTGCCTAAGTTACCCCAATACTTTCATCGTGGAGTCAACAATTGAGAAAGCCTAGGATGAATTAATCCTTGCACAACATTTGATTAAGCTCATTCAACATGCACCTTCAAACACTTTGATTCCTTTTCACGTCTTTCTTTTTCGGGAGAAAGTCGGTACCCTCAACAAAAATGACGGAAATTTTTTGCTTTTTTTCATTTTCGAGTCGCATAATCAACACTATGCACACACGGGTCATGAGTCTAACACATGTGTCATTTCACTTTGAGTCGAGTCAACCTCGAGTCAGTCAATCAGCGAGTCAAGTTTATACCTTGAGTCGTGTTAAGTCGATAAGTCAAGAAACATAAAACCTTAGGTCAACCCTAAGATACTTTTAAGCCTTAGGTCAACCCTAAGATGGCTAAAGAGATTGGAAAAGTTCTATAGTAAAAAATAAATACAGGTGCAGCAGAATAGGGAAGACCCTATCATAACGCTCGGTGACAGAGTCAATTCTTGGCGCCAGAGATATTTCAGCAGCGACAGAGCTCAAAGCCTCTCAGAAAGGTGATTTCGACCTCATACAACAATTTTGGGTTCCTTGGTACGCCAGTTAGCCCCTATAAGCAATTTGACATGATTAAGTAGTCAGTTTGATTACAATTGCAATAAGTGATCGACCTGATGAAAGATCGTCTCACTTTGCTTAAAGCGCCTAATCACGGAGACACCGACATACTGGTTTTAGCGGAAATAAAGTTCAGGCAAGCTTTAGAGATCGACAAAAGTTGGTCTTCAAAATTTTTTTCTTCAAGACATTATCGCAACAAACGTTCAAGTACTGACGCTCTATTGTTCAGAGACGCGTGAACATTTCCATCAAGCTCTTTTGCTCCAGAGACGCGTGGGCATATCATTCAAAAGCTCTTTTGCTCCAGAGACGCGTGGGCATATCGATCAAGCTCTTTTGTTCAGAGACGCGTTGAAAATCCTTTTCAAGCTCTTTTGCTTAGAGACGCGTGGGCATCCTATTATCAAGCTCTTCGTTTAGAGACGCGTGGACACATCATTTAGAAGTTCATATTAAAAAAAAATATAATAAAGAAGCTCTTTGTTCAGAGACGCGTGAACATGTAAAAAAGAAGCTCTTTGTTCAGAGACGAGTGAACATTGAAACAGCAAGGTGGCGTTCCCTGGATTATGGAGAGTTGTCACAAACAACTGAGGATTGTTTCAAGAGAAGCAATCTTCGATAGTATTCCCTTGGACATGGAATATTATCCATGCGGATGAGGATTATTTCAAGAAAAGCAATCTTCGATAGTATTCCCTTGGATGTGGAATACTATCATAGCGGAGGAGGATCGTTTCAGGCGAAGCAATCTTCCAAATTGGAAGCAGTTACAGGCATAGCAGTTTTCAAGCGTGATGGCATTCTCTAGCTTGCAGGAAGTCATCAAAACAAATCGGTTACTTTCAGAGACGTGTGCTCAACGGTGCAAGATACGCGTTTCGTAACTCTTTTATCTGTTTAACTAACGTTAGTTTTCAGGTATCGGCATTACAAGATTGGTTTAGGATCGCAGAACGTTCTGAATCATTCTCCGTCCCTATCGATACTTTGATTTTTGTTTTCGAAACTTGCGTTTCTACAAACTCAGTCAAAGTGGGGGCTTCTGTAGACACCCATTTGTGTCTCCCCAATTCCAAACTCGGTGATGAGTACCTTTCGCGTCGAATCATAATCGAATGAAGTGAAAGTATGGAAAGTCTAGTGTTGCGGATAGTTTTAATTTCTTTTCTTTTCTCTCTGTTTTTGAAAACTTATTTTAAGAAAACAGCCAATCCAGTTTGGTTGGTCCATGATATGGGTCCAATGGTAGTCTAGTTCGGATGGGGCTTGCAAAGACCTTTCCAACGATATATTATAAGCCCAATTCCGATGAATATTGAGGAAATTATGGCCAATTTACTAAACTGGGCCCGGTTTGAGCCTTATATGCGGCCCAATGATTTAGGGGAGGGCCTAATATGATTTATCAATCCTAATGCAATTAGGAATGGTATTAGTCTTCTAGATTCTTCTAGAAGGTTCTTTTCATTCCTAATTCAATTAGCATTGATAAATTGACTTTTGACTTTTCAAAGTTTTAATTAAAATCAAATAGCATTTTCGAGGGAAATATACGATTTTATCCTCCAGTACGGCAAACTTATCTAATTTTTGAAAACGCGTTAAAACAGGCCTGGCGCCTGACTCCAGGCATTGGCGCCTGGAACCAGCCATTGGCGCCTGGTGCTAGCCATTGGCGCCTGGCGCCAATTAGCAAGGGTTGGCGCTAGCTCTGTTTTGCGTGTGCCAATCTTGTTTTGCGTGCGCCAAGTGCTCTGTTTTGATATATTATCTTTTTGGCTGATTTCTCTATAAATAACGTATTAAAAACTCCGTTTTCGTGCACCTACAATCAGTTTTCATTCGCAATCATTAATTCTCTAATTCTCTCTTAATCATTCACCAATTCTCATCAAGTTTTCTTGATTATTTCACCTCTCTCTCTCTCTTTTCAAAACTTGATTTTCACATACAAAATTCCCCATTCACAAGATCTAGAAACACATAGCCATATTCGAAGTTGCCTTCGCCCTAGACGTGAAAGGTTTAATTTCTGAGGGTTTGGTGCCAAGTTTCTCTTTCAATTATTTAGTTTAATTGTTGTTTTAGTATTTTCCTTGAAGTTACTAACGTGTGTATTTTGTTATTAGAAAGAGGTACGAAGCATCAAGTAAGTACATTAGTGGTTTTTTTGATGTAGAAATCATGTTTATATTGTTATTATGATATTCCTAGTATCATGTTTAGGGTAACTTTAATATCAAATATGCTTATTATGATTCCTACGATACTTCCTATGTTCTTCCTAATATTTATTCATGTTAGTATTATGTTAGGGTTAAAAATTTAATTTTTATTGCTTAGTGACATGCTAGGGTTTGTTATTAATCTTGTTAGTATCATGCCTGTGATCTTGCTATTATTATTATGCTTTATTAACATGAACATGATTATGATTATAATTGTTATAATTTATGATTACTATTATTATTTTTATGATGATTATGAACATGATTATTATTATTATGATTATGATGATTATTTAATTTATTGATTATTATTATGTTGCTTGATATTTTATTGTTATTGCTTGATCACACCTTTTATGCATGTTTAAAGGGAATTTGGTACTTGTAATCACGCTTAATAAGATAATTAATAATCTTGTTAGGGTTAATATGATTATAATTTCAAGTGATCACCAATAATAGTTTATGTGTGCATTAAATTCAATCAACATAGATTAAACAGGTTTAGGGTTAATCCTAATGATTGCATGTTAATTAAAAATCGCACATGAATACGATCAGAATAAAGTAGAGGCCTATTATAAGGGCAGGTTTAATCTCTTTTAGGTTGGATTTGTACCATCATCCCCGAACCCTTATTTGGTTCTAGACCTTATGGAGTTGAAGATCTCTTGGATCGTTAAGGGGTGTAACCTTCATCCTATTAACGGTTTACAAGTTCCTAAAAAAACTTGTTGGCGACTCTTTTGCTCTATCTTCTTACCTTTTGGACGCCACCGTACTTTAGTGTATGATCACATTGGGGTTCAAGCTAGGGGTTTAAGGCTTGAAATATTCCCTACACAAGGACATTTTCTTCATTAACATAATTTGCTTTAGCATGTTTTTCTTTCCCTTTAATGGGAGCCTGGTAAAGTTCTACCAAGTGTTTGGTCGTACGACAAGTATGTCCCCAATATCTATCATGCCACACCTATAACATGTGTCTTTTCCTTTTGTAGTGGCTTGATTTTTGTTTCCTTGTTGATGCCCTCTTTGATGTTATTTCTAGGGGGAAATGGCCTCTACCACGGCTACGTTCGCGGAAACTTCCACGACCTCTGCCATGGTTATTATACTTTCCACATCCACCTCTATGAACAGCATTTGTATCAGGCGGATTTGAGCTTTCTACAACATTTGTTTCGTTGAATTCTTGAGACCCAGTTGGTCTTAGGTTGTGATTCTTCAATAGAAGATCATTATTCTTTTCAGGAACAAATAGTGTAGAAATAAGCTCTGAATATTTTGCAAAACCTCTTTCGCGGCATTGCTGTTGCAATACAATGTTGTTAGCATGGAATGTAGAGAGTGTTTTCTCTATCATTTGTACTTCAGTGGTTGGTTGATCATAATATCTCAATATTGATACAATTTTATATAGTGATGAATTATAATCACTAACAGATTCAAAATCCTGAAATCTCAGGTTTATCCACTCAAACTGTGCTGAAGGAAGGAGTACCCTTTCGTGGTGGTCATATCTTCCTTTCAGGCTATCCCATAGTTCTTTGGGATTTTCCACCATTAAATAAGCAAATTTTAAACTGTTATGTAAAGGATGCCTTAAGAGAACTATAGCTTTTTCTTTCTCTTGATCAGTAGCAATTTTAACTTGAGAGAGCATCTTTTTCGTTTCCTAGGATGGTAATTTCTTTGATTGTATGTTCCAATCCTTGAGCTTTTAAATTCATTTGGGCATCAACTGTCCATTCAAGATAATTATGTTCGAACAAGTCTAATACTTCCTCCGTTTTTATTTTATTGCACCATTTGGACTTTGACACTATTCACTTATGCTTTGTTTGGATAGCAAAGAAGGAAGGAAAAGAAGGGGAGGGAAAATGGAGGAAGGGAAGGGAAAAGAAAGGGAGGGGGAGGTGATCTCCATTTTCCCTCCAAATCTCTCCAATTTTGGAGAGATTATGGTTATTATAGAGAATTAGAAAATGGATCCCTCCCTCTCCTTCCCCTTCCTTCCCCCAATCTTTTACACAAACAAGAGATTTTGTCCCCCTCCATTTCTCTTCTCTTCTTTTCCTTCCATTTCTTCCTATCCAAACAAAGTGTTAATGTTCTTTGACCATCATTTGTGATTTATCCATTAGGAAAAATATAGTTATGAGGGATCTAGTTAGATTCGTCTCGAAATCTTCATTTCAAATATCAAAATTTTATAATTTTTACAAAAGTATAATAGAAGATATTAACAACTAAAGTAATGCATGGGCAAGCGTGAAATCCCTCATGGTGCAATAAAAAAAGAACGGAGGAAGTACGTCAAATTATCTTTTCATCAAGTCTCCCATTTTAACTACAATCAAATAGATAATTATTATTAAGCCAATTAAGCAAGTGATAATTAAAGTAATCAAATTATAATCATAATAATAAGCCATTTAAGACATATTTTGCTTCTCCCCCTTGGGTTATTATTATGATTTACATAATAAAGCATTATAATTATGTTACTTAAACAACAACAACGATAATAACAACAATAAAGATAATATTAACAATAAATACTACTACTATTACTACCTCACCGACAAACAATAACGACAATAATAATAACAAAAATATTACTGACATCATTAATGATAAGACAATAGGAACATTTATTATAACAAAATGCACTTATAATCTCCCTAGAAGACAACAAAAAACTTGAAGTACTACGAAGATTACATGCATTAATTCCCTTCGTCGAAAAACTAAGCGATATTTATGTAAAATGATGAAAATCATCATTACCATTAATAAAACTTATAGGACCATAATTAAAACTACGAAAATTTCACCAAATGCCCCTAAGTTATTTTTTTATTCACCAAATACCCATCAAAACTTTCAAATTCACCAAATACTCCCGAATTTAAGAAAAATGGCACCAAATGCCCTTAATGACTAACGGCGGTTAACACCGTTAGTCATTATTGACTAATATGCCACGTGGAAGGCTATAATTAGTTTTTGTAGTATTAGTTAATTAATTATTAAAAAAAACTTTAATAAATAAAAAAAATAAAAAAAAAAATAAAAAATAAAAAAATACCCCAACCACCCAAGACCCACCCCACCCCCAACCGTCGACCACCAGCTACCACCACCACCACCCAAGATACCACCCTTCCCCCTGCGCTGGTGATCCCTATTCACCGGTGAGGGCAACCCCCCACCCCTCCGACACCCCCTCCCCTACCTCTAGACCCCTTCTCCCTCCGTTTCCCCTCCACTTAATCCCCCTGCCCAACCTCGAAAACACCCCCTTCCTTCGCTGCCGGTGCCCAAACCTCCTCCCTAGCGTCGGCGAACCACTTTCGCCCCCCCGTCATCCCCACCCTATTTCCCCCTAAACCACCACCCCTAAAAACCGAAAAACCCCCAAATCGAAACCCTAGATTTCGATTTGGGGTTTTTTCGATTAAAGGGTGTTTTGGTTTTTTGGGTTATGGTTTAGGGGGGAAAGGGGGTGGGGATGGCGGGGGGTGGGGTAAAAGTGGTTCGTCGGCGCCGGGGAGGAGGTTATGGCGCCAACCGCGAAGGAAGGGGGTGTTTTTAAGGTTGGGCAGGGGGTTTGAGGGGAAGGGAAACAGAGGGAGAAGGGCTGGGGTAAAGGGGGTGTCAGAGGGTGGGGGTGCTGCCCTCGCCGGCAAAAAGGGACCACCGACGCACCCATGGATGGGCGATGATGTACCTGACAGCCCTTAGGGTAATGAGCCCCTTGGATGGGCAATGATATGTCTGACACCCCACTAGGTTAATGATCCCCTTCTAGATAGGCGAGCATGGAAAACTTTGATGTATTCAGCCCACCGAAAGTGCAAAAAAGGCCTATAGCAAGGTGAAAATGCCAGTTGTTTTATCACTGTCACATTTTTAAGTATGTCTTGGAACGGTACGTGCTCGGATCACCCCATAATGAGCCTCTAGGATGGGCGATGATACAGTTGATGCTTTCTAAGAGACTCCTGGCTGACAAATGTCTTTGAACAAACATGTAGACTTATGTATTTGAAGCAACATTAATGAAGAAACAAATTGTTATGGCTAACTCATAAATACTTGTATTTATTTTTATGTTTGATGCCCTTCGGGGCGGCCGAGCCCCATAGGGGGGGGACGATATATGTTTGGTGCCTCATCAGGCTAATGAGCCCCTTGGATGGGCGATGATGTGCCTGACGCCCCTTAAGGCTAATGAGCCCCTTGGATGGGCGATGATGTGTCTGACGCCCCTTAGGGCTTATGAGCCCCTTGGATGGGCGTTGATGTGTCTGACGCCCCATAGGGCTAATGAGCCCCTTGGATGGGCGATGATGTGTTTGACGCCCCTTAGGGCTAATGAGCCCCTTAGATGGGAGATGATGTGTATGACACCCTTTAGGGCTAATTAACTCCTTGGATGGGTAATGATGTGTCTGACACCCCTTAGGGTTAATGAGCCCCTTCTAGATAGGCGATCATGGAAAACTTTAATGCATTCGACCCACTGAAATTGCCAAAAAAGACCACGAGCATGGTGAAAATGCCATTTTTGTAATTACGATCTCATTTATAAGCATGTCTTGAACAGTACGTTTTCGGATAACCCCATAATGAGCCCCTAGGATGGGCGATGATATAATTGACCCTTTCTAAAAGCCTTCTGGGTGACAAGTGTCTGTGAAGAAACATGTCGACTTATGTATTTCAAACAACATCAATGAAGAAAAAAATTATTATGCCTAACTTATGTATACTTGTATTTATTGTTATGTTTGACACTATTTGGGGCGGTCGAGCCTCTTCGGGGGGGGGGGGGGGGCGATATACGTTTGGCGCCCCTTCGGGCTAATGAGCCCCTTGGATGGGCGATGAAGTGCCTGAATCCCCTTCGGGCTAATGAGCCCCTTGGATAAGCGATGATGTGTCTCACGCCCCTTAGAGCTAATGAGCCCCTTGGATAGGCGATGATGTGTCTAACACGCCATAGGGCTAATGAGCCCCTTTGATGATTACATTCTCATTTTTAGGCATGTCTTGGAAAAGTACGTGCTTGGATCACCCCATAATGAGCCCCAAGGATGGGCGAAGACATAATTGACGCTTACTAAGAGCCTCCTAGGTGACAAGTGTCTGTGAAGAAACATGTAGACTTATGTATTTGAAGCAACATTAGTGAAGAAACAAATTGTTATAGCTAACTTATGTATACTTCTATTTATTGTTATGTTTGACACCCTTTGGGGCAGCCGAGCCCCTTGGGGGGGTGATATATGTTTGGTGCCCCTTCGGGCTAATGAGCCCCTTGGATGGGCAATGATGTGCCTGACGCCCCTTTAGTCTATTGAGCCCCTTGGATGGGCGATGATGTGTTTGACGCCCCTTAGGGCTAATAAGCCCCTTGGTTTGGCGATGATGTGTCTCACGCCCCTTAGCGCTAATGAGCCCCTTCGATGGGCGATGATGTGCCTAACACCCCTTAGGGTTAATTAACTCCTTTGATGGGCGATGATGTGTCTAACACCCCTTAGGGTTAATGAGCCCCTTCTAGATAGGTGATCATGGAAACTTTGATGCATTCGGCCCACAAAAATTGCGAAAATGCCTCTATCATGGTGAAAATGCCATTTTTCTGATTACGGTCTTATTTTTAGGCATTTCTTGGAACGATACGTTCTCTGTTCACCTCATAATCAGCCCCTAGAATGGGAGATGATATTATTGACGCTTTCTAAGAGCCTTGTTTATTACAATTGTCTGTAAAGAAACATGTAGACTTATGTATTTTAATCAACATCAATGAAGAAACAAATTGTTATGGCTAACTTATGTATACTGTTATTTATTGTTATGTTTAACGCCCTTTGTGGCGGCCGAGCCCCTTCGGGGGGGGGGGGGGCGATATATGTTGGTGCCTCTTTGGGCTAATAAAGGCCTTGGATGGGCGATTATGTGCCTGACGCCCCTTAGGGCTAATTAGCACCTTGGATGGGCGATGATGTGTCTCACGCCCCTTAGGGCTAATGAGCCCCTTGGATGGGCGATGATGTGTTTGACAACCCTTAGGGATAATTAGCCCCTTGGATGGGCGATGATGGGTTTGACACCCCTTAGGGCTAATGAGACTCTTGGATGGGCGATGATGTGTCTGACACCACTTAGGGTTAAGGAGCCCCTTCTAGATAGGCGATTATGAAAAACTTTGATGCAATCGGCCCACCGAAATTGCAAAAAAAAATGCCTCTAGCATGGTGAAAATGCCATTTTTCTTGTTACGGTCTCATTTATAGGCATGTCTTGGAACGGTGCGTGCTCAGATCACCCCATAATGAGCCCCTAGGATAAGCGATGATATAATTGACGCTTTCTATGAGTCTCTTGGGTGACTGTGTCTGTAAAGAAACATGTAGCTTATGTATTTGAAGCAACACCAATGAAGAAACAAATTGGTATGGCTAACTTCTGTATACTTGTTTTTATTGTTACGTTTGACGCCCTTTGGGGCAGCCGAGCCTCTTGGGGGGGGGATATATGTTTGGAACCCTTTCGGGCTTATGAGCCCCTTCGATGGGCGATGATGTGCCTAACGCCCCTTATGGCTAATGAGCCCCTTGGATGGGCGATGATGTGTCTCACGCCCCT